AACATGACCTTTTTAATTTTATCCAAGTAACTGCAAACAAATTTCTCTTTAAGGGCATCAGTGCAGTCTTTTAAAAATTATTTTATCTGGAATTACTTAAATTTTTAACCATTCTAAAAGTATGAAAATACAAACATTTTGGTGTATTTTTTCTATATATTTTGAGTAGAGAATACAGTTCCAAGTAGGTATTACTATTCATGATTGAGAGAAAAATATGTTTCAAATACAAATTCACCAACTTACTGTAGGAAAGATTAGAGGTGAAAAGATTTATCTAAATTCTTCTGAACTCTTCCTATTTGGTGTAGTGTGCCTTCTCTCCTGTACTTTTAGGGTAAATACTTTATAAGCAAATGTGACCGTATGCCATGCTACATTTCTTAGGATTAATGAAGAAAAATGAGGTAGAATAGACTTCAGGTAAGATCTCAGAAATGACGTTTCATAGCCTGGGCTCTAGATTTAAGTGTGCACTAACCTTTACGATAAAAGGTATTTTCAACTATACTAGTTTTTCCAGTAACACTAGATCTGCATTGCTGAGGACCCATTTCTTAATGCAGAAACAGACCATGATATTTCTATAATTGTTCTTTAAAATTATTCAAACTTAGGAACATGTAGATGCTAAACTGACTTGAAAATAAAGACCAGTTTATAAAATGGGCTATTTTCATGTTCTTTGTTTTTTTTGTGTGTTTTTTTTTTTTTTTTTTTTTTTTTAACAGTAGAGTAGATAGTTGTCTTGGTGACTGCAGACATGCCGGGCTGTTTGGTGGTATTCAGAACCACTGCAGTCATGGTGGTTTTCCCGATTGGTGTGTGGTCTTCAGTAATTATAAGGAGTTACTTGTCGGAAGCTACTGTCCAACCAGCAAGGTTGCCTTTATGCCTCTATCGCTTTCAGGATCATTGGTACCTGTGCATATTTTTCCCAAATCACCTTGCCTCCTTGTGTCACAAGACCCAACTCACTCACGTTCATCTCCATGACAGTACCTTTGGTAATAAACACCCAAAGTTGTATATAGTGGGGATGCGGAATTCGTTTTTACACCAAGTATTGGCAGGCAAAAGGCGGCTTTCAATTCAGAATGTGTTACATGGGCCTCTTGGCAACGTAAGCCCATTGGCCTAACGAATCTCTCCTATTTAGGGGGTGTTCGAGGAAAGCCATCTCCAGCAAAGCAGACTTTAGTAACCATCCTCTTCCATGCTTTGTTCTTTCTCTTTCCTGCTTGAATAACTTCTGATACTTCTGTTTCTCCCTGGGCACGAACTTTGGGCAAAGGGACTTCCCATTTGCCTGCTTTCTCTTGGCGTTTTTGTTTCATCCTATTGGAAAGGACTTTAGCTCTGGACTGTCCCTCCCTGTCCAGTAGGCGTGCAGCATCGCTCCTCATAGAGTCTCACCATCATTCTTTTGTTGGAGGCTTCTCCTTTCATGCATCATGATAATCTTTTTCATTTGTATTTTCTCAGCCTGGTGCTGTTCATGGTAGAGCTCGGCTTTCAGACCAATCATCTTTTTTGCCTTCTTTGAACACTCTCGAACCTCCAGACCTTCCTTCTTCCTCTTTTTCTCCTGGTAATCCAAACGATGGCCACAGTGCTTCTGGTGTGACTCAGTATATTGGTTTTGTGGCCTGGTGATGGGGCAGAGCTGCTGCTGCTGGTGTGAAGAAGCTCTCAATTTTCTAGTCTCACAGACCCAGGAGCTGACTCCATGCAACCCCGAGACGGGAAAGAGACTCCCTGTGCTGCTTTAAAAGTTGAACTGATGTGGGGGCCTCACCCCCCACTGGTTTTTAAACTATGCTTATTTCTTAGTAGTAAAGAAACTTGACTTCACAAATTGGGGCCTGAAGGAGCAGATCACAGCTGGCTGAAACCTACTGAGGAACTATTTAGAGCGTTCGGGGGATATCACGGGGAGTCTGTCCAAGGACTTAGAGCACTGGAAAGGAGGGGAGGTAGGCTTCCTAAGGGGGAAATGAGGCTTCACCTGAGGGAAAAATGAGGGAAGGGCAGGCACTCAGGAGAGCCAGCTCCTCGGCCTGAGGGTAGACCTCCCATCCCTTCTGTCAGGAAAAGCCAGGAGCTGCTCTGTGAGGGCAGTTTTGATATATGACTCCAGATGTGAGTGGAAGGTACAGTGTGTGTTTTGAGGTTTTTCCTATGGAGAATTTCTCAGCCCTCAGACCGGATTGTCAAAGAATTGAGACGAAGTATGAAGCACGTAAGAGATGTGTTTGACACAATAGGGTCAGAAAAGTTCAAGGTGCCCTCTCTCCTGGCATGTTTGGTAGGAACCCTAAAATACAAGAAAGGGACTAGAAACCTTATGACAGTAAAATTTTAAGGCTTCATTTTTTCGGTAAAATATGACTTGCTGTCAGGTGTGTGACTTGGTATCTTTAGGGCAAATATATAATAAATCTCGCCTCCTTGCTGAAATCTGAAGAGTTTTCTGCATATAAATAAAAACCACGAGTGCGATAAAATTGCTTTTGTGTCCTCATATGTAAGGTGTTAGGAATTTTCAGACTGTTACCATAATTAAAGTACTTGGGATGAAAAAACTCTTTACTTGAGTATCTCTCCCCCGTCCTGTCTTAAAAGGCACTTCTGGAGAAAAACACACTCACCCACTTCAGTATTGTTTTGACCCTACTTTGTAGTTTGAAGAAACATTACAGCTTTCAGTGACAGCAGGAAAGTTGCCTTGTAGTTGAAAACACTACAAACCACAAAGGGCATTGGAATTTGCAAAAATGAATGAGATTTCTCTTCACAGCCTCAGTCGAAAGGGATGACTTCTAAAGAACTCATTTTTGTCAGTAAAGGAATTGCCTGGAGACCTTCTTTCTTTCTTTTCCTAGGTCTGCTTCTTGAACTCCTGTCTATAGGGTCACCGGGCCTGACTTGCTCTTTCTACAGGTTTTTTAAAAATTGCTTTTTGTATTTGCTTTATATACTAATCATGGTTTTTATTCCACAAGCATAGACTAACAATGGGAGAGGGATCATTCCTCAAGCGAATACCCCTATCTACTTACACTTCTGAGTATCACAATGGCTACCTCGTGGGTCATCCTGGCTCTATCCCACCTGCTTCAATCATCCCAAGCTCTCTCAAGATTTCATAGTCAGAACTTTGACTCTGCGTATGCCCCAGCTCTACTCAAAATATTTAAGGGATTCCCTTTTGCTTACAGAATAAAGCTCAGAGCCCTTAGCCTGGCCTTCAAGACCCTCTATAATCTAGTTTGTTATCTCTGGCACTCACCTCACGTGAAAACTTGGATCCAACTTTTATGCTTTGCCTCCTCCTGTGCCCATTTCTGGCAGCTTGGCTTTCATCCTGCCAGAAATGTCTTCCTCCCTCAGGTATGATTCCTGCAAGGTCCAGCTCACTTCCACCTCTGCTGGGAAGCTTCCCCCAGTTAGCCTGTTCAGATCCCTTGAACTTTAGTGGGAATTATTTGAGACTTAGCATACCCTGACTTATATTTTTATTTCTTTTTTTATTTAAATTCAGTTAGCCAACATATAGTGCCTCATTTGTTTTAGATGTAGGGTTCAGTTATTCATCAGTTGCATATAACACTCAGTGCTCATCACACCATGTGCCCTCCTTAATGTCCATCACCCAGTTACCCCATCACCCCCATCCACCTCCCTTCCAGCAACCCTCAGTTTGTTTCCTATAGTTAGAAGTCTCTCATGGTTTGTCTCCTCTGATTTCTTCCCACTCAGTTTTCCCTCCCTTCCCCTATGATCCTCTTTGCTGTTTCTTATATTCCATATATGAGTGAAACCATATGATAATTGTCTTTCTCCAATTGACTTATTTCGCTCAGCATGATACCCTACAGTTCTATCCACATTGATGTAAATGGTAAGATTTCATCCTTTTGATGGCTGAGTAATATTCCTCTCTCTCTCTCTCTCTATATATATATATATATGTGTGTGTGTACGTATATCTCACATCTTCTTTATCCATTTATCTGTCAATGGACATCTGCCCTCTTTCCATAGTTTGACTATTGTGGATATTGCAGCTACAAACATTGGGGTGCAAGCGGCCTTTTGGATCACTACATTTGAATCTTTGGGGTAAATACCCAGTAGTGCAATTGCTGGGTCATAGGGAAGCTCTATTTTTAACCTCTTGAGGAACCTCCATACTGTTTTCCAGAGTGGTTGCACCACCTTGCATTTCCACCAACAGTGTAAGAGGGTTCCCCTTTCTCTGCATCCTTGCCAACATTTGTTGTTTCCTGTCTTAATTTTAGCCATTCTGACTGGTGTGAGGTGGTATCTCATTGTGGTTTTGATTTGTATTTCCCTGATGCCAAGTGATGTTGAGCATTTTTTCATGTGTCCGTTGGCCATTTGTTTGTCTTCTTTGGAGAAGTGTCTGTCATGTCTTTTGCCCATTTCTTGAATGGATTAATTGTCTTGGGGTGTTGAGTTTGATAAGTTCTTTATAGATCTTGGATACTAGCCCTTTATCTGATATGTCATTTACAAATATCTTCTCCCATTCTGTTGGTTGTCTTTTGGTTTTGTTGACTGTTTCTTTTGCTGTGCAAAAGCTTTTTATCTTGATGAAGTCCCAATAGTTCATTTTTGCTTTTGTTTCCCTTGCCTTTGGAGACGTGTCTAGCAAGAAGTTGCTGCGGTGAGGTCGAAGAGGTTGCTGCCTGTGTTCTCCTCAAGGATTTTGATGGATTCCTGTCTCACATTTAGGTCTTTCATCCATTTTGAGTCTATTTTTGTATGTGGTGCAAGGAAGTGGTCCAGTTTCATTCTTCTGCATGTGGCTGTCCAATTTTCCCAACACCATTTGTTGAAGAGACTGTCTTTTTTCCATTGGACATTCTTTCCTGCTTTGTCGAAGATTAGTTGACCATAGACTTGAGGGTCCATTTCTGGGCTCTCTATTCTGTTCCATTGGTCTATGTGTCTGTTTTTGTGCCAGTACCATACTGTCTTGATGATGACAGCTTTGTAATAGAGCTTGAAGTCAAGAATTGTGATGCCACCAGCTTTGCTTTTCTTTTTCAACATACCTCTGGCTATTCGGGGTCTTTTCTGAAATCTGTTGCATTTCTATACACTAATAATGAGACAGAAGAAAGAGAAATTAAGGAATCGATCCCATTTACAATTGCACCAAAAACCGTAAGATACCTAGGAATAAACCTAACCAAAGAGGCAAAGGATCTCTTCTCTAAAAACTACAGAACACTTATGAAGGAAGACAAAAGAAATGGAAAGACAGTCCATGCTCATGGATCGGAAGAACAAATACTGTTAAAATGTCTAAGCTACCCAGAGTAATCTACACATTCAAGGTAATCCCTATCAAAATACCATCGACATTTTTCACAGAGCTGGAACAAATAATCCTAAAATTTGTATGGAACCAGAAAAGACCCTGAATAGTCAGAGGAATATTGGAAAAAGAAAACCAAAGCTGGTGGCGTTATAATTCTGGGCTTTTATTTTTCTTTTTTATGTGTGTGCCTTATTTTCCTTTCTAGAGGGTAAAATTTCATTCATTTATTTAGCACATATTTATTGTGGCCCAACCATGTGTGAGGCCCCGAGTCCTGCATGAGAATGCTGCAGTAATTAAGACACACGTGGTCCCTGCCCTCAGGAGCTTACATTCTAGTGAGGAATCATAACCATTCAGTGTGCCAAGTGCTATTTAGGGGACAGCACTGGGTGCCATGGGAGAATGTAAGAGGCCCAGTTAAACATATTCAGGAGGGTTAGAAAGGCCTCCTAGAAAAGGCAATGTCCTAAGCAAGACTTAAAGGATAAGTAGGAGTTAGCTAGGCAGCATGTGGAGGAAGACTGTTTCAGCAGAGAGAACAGTGTGCATAAGTTATAGAACTGGAAGAAGTCAAAGATGAGAATGGGCATAGAGGAGGTGGGAGAATTCGTGAGAACACTTTTGGGGGTAAGCAGAGGCATAGTCCTAAGCCTTCTGTTCATTCTGTCAATGGACGCTTTTTTTTTTTTTAAAGATTTTTCAATTTATTCATTTGAGAGAGAGAGAGTACCAGTGAGAGCAGAGCAGGGGGAGGGTCAGAGGCAAGAGGGAGAAGCAGACTCCCTGCTGAGCAGGGAACCCAATGTTATGGAGGGCTTGATCCCAGGACTAGGATCATGACCCGAGCTGAAGGCAGGCACTTAACTGACTGAGCCACCCAGGGACCCCTTGATATTCAAGTTTTTTAGCAGGGAGAAAAGAAAAGATTACCTTTGGAAAGACAACCAACAGTGTCTGCCACATAGCATCGCCTGAATATATTGACTCAAACCCCTATACCAAAGGCCTAGCAGAGCAAAAGGCATGCTTATTTCCAGGCCTAAAAACTATTTGCATCAATTTTCACTGTCACATACAAGATAAGATGACTGGATTTCAACAAATATTTATGAAACATACAAAAAAGCAAGGAAAAAGACACTATCAAGAAGCAAAGCAATCAACAGGGTCAGACTCAGATATAACATAGATGTTGGATTGATCAGACAGAATTTAAAATAACTGTGGTTTCTACGTTAAAGGTTCTAATGGAACAGATGGACAATGCACAATAGCAGATGGGTAATTTTAGTCGAGAGATAGAAAAAATAAGAAAGTATCAAATGCAAGTGCTAGAAATGAAGGACAAAGTAAAAGAGTTGAAGAATGCCTTCAATGGGCTCATTAGTAAGCTTGATACAACTGAGAAAAGAATCATTGAACATGAAGATCTATCTTTATGAAATTATGCAAATGGAAGCACACACACGAGTGAAAAAAAGAAAGAGCATGCAAAAATCTGAGGGACAATATCAAATAGTCTAATATACATATAAATTACAATTTTAGAAAGAGAGAGGAAAGAAAAGACAGAAGAAATATTTAAAGAAATAATGGCTGAAAAGTTTCCAAAATTAATTATAAATATCACCCATGGATCTAAAAAGCTCAGAGAGCACCAAGCAGAATAACAAAACAAAAGCAAAACAGAATAACCTAGGCATATAAGATTCAAACTACTGAAAGCCAAGGATGAAGGAAAAAGCCTGAAGACAGTGGAAGGAAAAAGACATTCTATGCATAGGAGCAAAGATTTAAAAATTATTGCAGACTTCTTGTCAGAAGCTGTGTAAGCCAGAGGATGATGGAGTCACATCTTTAAAGTGCGGGAGGGGGCGGGGGTTGGGGTGGGGAATCTCTGTGAAGCAGAATTTCATACCCAGTGAAAATATCTTTCAAAAATTAAGGGAAAATATACTTTCTCAGACAAATGAAAGTATTGTTGATCACAAGTAAAAATTGGAAATGGTATTCCACTATTGTTTAATTCTATACTGGTGGGCAGTGAAGCTGATTTTTTTGTGTTTAGTATTGACTTGTAGTTTGTCTTTTATGAATCGCCAATTCCTATCTGTCATCCATTTTTCTGTTGGTTTATTTGTCTTTTTCTTTTTTTAGATTTTATTTATTAATTTGAGAGAGAGAGAGAGTGCACAAGCAGTGGGAGCAGCAGAGGGAGAGGGAGAAGCAGGCTCCCTGCTGAGCAGGGAGCCAGACTCGGGGCTTGATCCCAGGACTCCAGGATCATGACCTGAGCAGAAGGCAGATGCTTAACCAACTGAGCTCCCAAGGCGCCCCTATTTGTCTTTTTCTTATAGAAATTCCTTATATATTTTGAATACCAATCCTTTGTTACATACATAGCAAATATCTTTTCATGATCTGTCACTTTTCTTTTAGTATGTTCATGCGACTTCTGTTGACAGAATGTTACAATGTGACAAAATTAAATCCAATCACTTTTCCCTCTATAGTTTTTGCAGAGGCTTTCCCTATGTCACATTCTCTAAGATTTTCTTCTAAGGTTTTATAGTTTTGTATATTGTTTAGGTCTTTAATCCTTCTGGAACTTACATTTTTGAGTAGTAAAAAGTAGCGATGTAAATTAATTTCTCCTAAATGGTTTGTAAATTGCTCCAATATAATTTTTTTAAATAGTCAGTATATTCTTTCCCTATTGATTTTAAATGCCACATTTATCATAAAATACCTTCCCACATATTCATGGCTCAGTTTCTGTATTCCCTTTTATGTCCCATTGAGCTATTTTGTACCAATGTTACAATGTTTTAGTTCCTGTAGCTTTATGTTTTGATATTGTGATAGCCAATGGCCAGGCTTGTCCTGCTCAGCTCCTCCCAGTAGGTAGATGACATGCCTGCCTGAAATTTTGCAAAAGGAGTCTGAAAGAGGGCACATGCTTTTACATTTCTGAAGTAGCCCAGTGGACAGTGGGCTGTAGGATGAATAGTGATAATAATCACATGACAATCACACATGGCCTGTCATATTGTCTTAAGGCAACGGGGCATGCTTGATGCCTGGTTATTATCATTTAATCTGTGTGCAGTGCAGCAATATGGCATTATAGCAATATAGCAAGAAACTGAAACTGATAATAGGTCTGAATAATGTGGCTTACCAAAAGTGGTTTTGCACAACCATCCCGGAGTTTTGGGGCATTGTGGCTGGTGGCCTACGGGCTACAAAAAACACTGTTCAGGACTTCCCATCACCTGACAGTTTCTTTCTGGCTGGTTGACCATGACCAGCACTCAGACTGTCTCTCATAGTGTGATTAAGGTAAACCAAGGAGCTGTACTCCCCAAGTTCTCCTACTTGATGCAGTCTCTTATCCTTAAAGGTCATTGCAATGACATGCAATTTGTGTGCTCTCTGAGTACCTGAGTGTTCCTACCCTCTATCGGACTACTTCAGAAATTTACGACAGCATGGCTCTCTCTTATAGAACTTCTTTTTCAGAATTACCTTGGGTATCCTTTCACATTTTCTGTTATAGGAGAATTTTAAAATCAGTCTATAACTTCTTTGAAAGATCCCACTGGGAGTTTGAGCTTAATTTGGGGGGGGGGGCGGGGATAATCATCTTTAGATGCCAAGCCTTTCCAACCAGATACAGGTACATTTTCTTGATTTGTTTGGGTTTTCTTTAATGTCTTTCAGTAAAATTTTATCATGTTTTCATTTAGATCTTAAACATTTTTTGTTTATTCTTGGGTATTTTGTAGTTTCATGGCTTTGGTGAATAAGATCTTTCTTCATGACATTTTGCAATAGTTATTGTAGGATACAGTCAAGGTGTTGCTTTCATATGTTAACATTGTGCTTGTTCTCCTAACTGAATTGTGATCATTTACCTCAGATTCTCTTAGGTTTTTTATTTTTTATTTTTATTTTTTTCTCTTAGATTTTTTAGATACACAATTATGTTGTTTGCAAATACTGACAGTTTTGTTTCTTCCTTTCAGATCCTTATGTCTTATTTCTTTTCTTTGTCATTTAATTGGCCAGGACTTCTAGGTCAATGTGAACTAGCTATGGGGATCCTTATCTTGTTCCTAATGCCTATAGGAATAACTCTCTAATTTCATTACTAGGTAAATATTTGCTCTAGCTTTCTGGTTGACGTTATCAAGAAAAGAAGATTTTCTCCTATTTCCAACTTGCTAAGAGTTTCTTGGGGATGAGTATTAAGAATCATGAAATAATTTCTCTGCTTCCATTGAGATAATCATAAAATTTTCCTCTTCCAGTCTATTAACAATATTTTGAAGTGTCGAACCAACATTGCTTTCGAGGGATTAAATGCCATTTGATTTTTTCCTATTGTGGTAATAATGCTTTTAGTTTGCTTGTAAATACTTAAATAGGACAAGCAGTCTTTGGTTTGCCTGAAAACTGCCTGCGTCTAAGGTCTCCCTGAGGCCATTGTTCTATTATTTTTGTCTCTAGTGATTGAGTTTGTGGTCATCCTCTTCAAAGTTTTATTGCAGATTATTTTGGGGAAACTAAGGATATTTGGGACATATCCTTAATCTTTAAAAGCTGGCATCATAGAGGACAACCAGGGCATACCAACTGGTGACTGGTGTCTGTCAGAAACACAACTCTACATTTGAGGTGGTTGGTAAAGGGATGACCCATGACCCATGATCGCATTGCGTATAGCTCATCTCCATGTAAGGAATTATGGAAAAGGGCAAACGATCACATAAGAGTAGAGAGGATATACTTCCTTGGAGTCAGTCAATCCGAAATCCAGGACACAGACAGGAGGCCAGTGTTCTTTCGGTTTCCATGACAACTGGAGATTTACCATGATGTTAATGAAGCATAAGCTTCAGGGCCTCTCACTTAAAAGGGACCTTTCCAAGGCCCTGCTTCTAACCTTATATTTGTAAGTTTGTATTCTTTTCCTAAAGAGAGACCCTAAGTTGTGTAAGCCCTAGACCCTACAAAACCTGGATCCATCCCTAATGAGAACCCCAGCCATAGCTTTGCATCGCGCCACCAAGCCTAGGCCCGGGGCTCTGAAATCCCTATCTGGCAACCCTGATAATTCTCTCAGTTTAGCAATTAGAGTGGGTGGCAGATTAAGTTACCCTGTTGCTTCCCAGCTGGGCTGGGAGAACTGTGGCCTGACCTAGAAGCCGGTGGGTGTCACTGGGCACAAGTGGTTGGCTATCTCACACTTCACTCGCTGTGGGGGCACATGACCAAATTCATTATTAACGCCGAGCTGATCTGGTTACCTTGATTGACACTAAGTGATTTCAGCCTGGGCTATATTTGTCTTTGTGGGGAAAATGACTGCACAGAGCTGAAAGGTTATTTCCCTCTTCAAATACATTTGGGCCTGTCACTGCGGAGTTACGCAGCCTGACATCAAAATTGGACCCATGGGCTTTGGAAGACAGCAGATGACATCACGGGCAAGAAATGGTGTCAGCTTCATTTTGTTTTTTCCTTCTCTTTCTGGACTCTGACAGAGGTAGTTTGTCTAGAATTTGCAAGGCTTTCGGGTGAGGAAAAGGAAGAACTGGTAGTAGCAGTTACCTATTTTGCACATACACAAAAATAGTTTCCAGGATATGTTTCTCTGTCTTCCTGGTCTCTGTTACTATGAAGCTTATTTATTTATTTATTTTATTTGGGAGGGCTTTGATGTCTAATTAATAAGACTAATAAATCATTCACCTGCTATTGAATTAAAATCTAACCTGTTACTAGAATAAAATATTCCCCTTAGACAATACATATTTTTGTTTATAGAACCGGAATTACCTATGAGAAACTCCATCCTTAACTGTGATACCCTCTCCCATGGTTGCAAAGCATGTAAGAGAAGTCTACGAATGACATGGTGTTACATTTACAGTGTTATGCTATGTGATTCTGAATGCATGTAAGAAATACATCAAACCCCGGGGTGCCTGGGTGGCTCAGTTGGTTAAGCGTTTGCCTTGGGCTCAGGTCATGATCCCAGGGTGCCGGGACCGAGGCCCGCATTGGGCTCCCCACCCCATGGCGGGCTCCCCACTCAGCGGGGAGTCTGCTTCTCCCTCTGCCTCTCCCCCTCTTCCTGATTGTGTGCTCTCTCTTTCGCTCTCTCTCAAATAAATAAATAAAATATTTTAAATAAAAGAAATACATCAAACCCAGTAACACAGGGAAAAATCAGATGCTTCTAGGCCATAAACTTCAATTAGAAAATTTAAATTAGTTTGAAGGAAAAATTTTAGCCTAAAGATACCAAATAGAGTTATAGTGGCTTGAGGTGAACCATTGCCCTACCTCATAGGATTTACTTATTTTGGATGAAACAAAGGTTAATGAATTTAGCAAGAAGTCGTATTGATGGATGCATCCTCTAGACTTGAGAATAAAAGGAAATGTTTTTAAAAACTGCACCTTCCGTCATTGTTCTTGTTATAGTATAAGATTCTGATGTCTGATTCTCTATTGGTGATGAAGAGAGGAGGGACCCTCTCGCAGGGTCCACAACTGTTGGGTTTGAATGACAGCAGCTCATTGCAACAGTGACCCGCCTGTAGAAACCGTTCTCAGCCCAGACTCAGTCGGCGGGTAGGGGAGGAGAGCTACCGTTCAGCTTCAAGTCACAAAGTCCTAACTACCAAATCTGCTCCTCCCCTGTTGGATCTCTGCCTCCTCTCCAGGGGCGATGACAAGGAGATGGGTTGGCTTCTCATTAGACAGAGAAATAGGAGGGAGTGTCCACTGACCTAAGGAAAACATGTTCTCTTTAATACAGGCCGGCATATAAAAATACATGTAAACAAGCATTTTTTATTTGAACATTAAATTTTATTGGTACAGAACATGTGTTTTGTTATACTGGTGACTAATGCCTTTTAAAAAATGAGATTTTGGAATGCCATTCTGCTTATGTAACAAGATAAAGAGCTTTTAGAACATTGTTCTGGAGCAAACCCCTATAATAATAGTTGATTAACAACAAGACAACTTGAGGTGCCAAAAATATTTGGCAATGCCCTCTATTAAATGGAAAAAAGTTTTAGGCTTTTTTTTTTTTTTCTTTAATGATATCCAAATGATTTTTGTCCGAAAAATCTAGACTTCAAAAGTCATCAGTTTGCAAATATCGGTGCACAAAAATATTTATTTGCATGTAGATACCCTGCTTGGTCCCTATTTCTCTGCCTAATTGGGCCAGAGATTTATTCAAAAACGTCTAGTTGAAAATAAATGTATCTGTGAGAGATAGAAGAGGAAAATCTAGGCATGAAAATTAATAAATGCGCCCAAAGTTGCTTATTACCAAAGAAAAAAATTACATTTATCTCAACACTGACTGTCTTACAAAGTCTTGGTTATGGCTCGTAATCATGATTTACATTTTGTAGGAAAATGCTTTTTAGACTGCAAATGAATTCCTGGATCTTGGCCATTATGATGGCGATAATGATGACGATGACATTTATGGGAGTGTGCTTGTTCACAGAAACAACAGGAAATGCCAAGGAGGTAAAATAAAGAAAGATACTTTCAACAAAGAAACAAAATTTTTTTGAAATAGTGAACGTGGTCAACAATGAGTATTTTCCCAGGTTAGTCATTTTCTGGTGCAGTGAAGTATATGGACAGGTGAGTCCCTGGTCATAGTTACCTGGAGACAGGGGTCAGCCTTCTTGGGCTCTGCTGGGCCCCACAACCTGGCATCTTGTGGAGTTGTGTGTCATTGCTTCTACCCGGCCTCTGGAGCTTTGGACTTGGGCCATCGGGGAAGATCTTCCCATGTTCACATTTCACAAGGATCCTAAGGTCTGCTGGGTACGTATGTTGAAAAAGAAAAGTGATTAGTTCTCATGATCATGAAGCAAACCCAGAACTTATTCCAGGGGAAATAGTGGGGTTCTGGCCCCTCCTCCAAATTTTAAAGTTGATGTAATTCAGGACAACCTTGGTCTCTCCAGATGGTCCCTTATTTCTGAGTTGAAGTGATCATAGGCCTGATCTGTGTTCTGTCCTAAAACAAAACAAAATACTTACTATCTACTGTACAGCGGGAAGCTTGTGGGCTTTGAGAACTGACAGCCTGAGTTTGAATCTGGGTTCTTACTAACTGCATAACTTTGGGCTCACTTGCCTGTTTCCTCACTTGTAATTGGGGAAAATGATACTTTCTTCTCCCAATATTGTGAAGCTTAAATGAGATAATATGTGAAAACCACCCAGCACATAGTTGACACCCTCCCGGCCTAGGGCAAGAATTATCAGCCCGTCTCACTTGAACTCCATGAAGCTGGGCTGAGTACGTCCTGGGTGCCAGGCAGTGCACAGGGGTGCATTCATGAGGGAGGGACACAGAACCCTGCAGCCAGGCCTTCATGTCCCAGTAGGAGAGGAGAGGTCAAGCGCAGCTCAGAGCAATGGCCCTCTAAGGCCAAGCTCAATGCTCTTCCTATAGCTTTAGCTCATCCCTCCACCCCTCTTCTGCAAAGGTCTTTCCTGCTTGGATACATTCAAACTTCCCAGGGGCTGAGCATTCTTGGCAGTTCTCATTAACTTACTCACAAAAGATTTTCCAGGGTATTTTTTTGTTTCTGGATTGTCAGATCATATGGGTGGTGTTTTGATTTTGAAATAGTTCTCAAGGTCTCTTCATAGTTGGAACATTGCCCTTGAGGGAGGCAGAGCTGAGGTTAGAAAGTCTCTGCAGGAACAATGCACCTTATCTTTGTCTGCTGAGCCCCCTTCTAAAAGGAAGAAACGCCCTACAAATCCGTCTTCAACCCCAGGCTCCTCCCTGAAAGAGGAGGAGAGGAGTTCCATATACCCAGTCACTCTGACCCCTTGCTTCAAAGGGATGCTGTGTTAATGACTGTGTTCATGGCAGAGTTTGTCGGAGAAAGATGCTTTTCAGGGGCAAGGCATTCCCTGAACCCCACATATGTCACCACACGGAAGGCTGCCTTTTCCACCTGAACACTGGGTGGGCTCTGGCTCTATCAGATAGTAGAAGAAATAGTGATCGGTGAACACAAGTAGGGATCTTAGCCTGGTCAAATTCAAGATCATTAATTCAGCAGATATTTTCTGAGCACCTTTCCCTGAGGGTATATAGGTTTTGCCCATCGTTCCATAGCAACCACACCAAAGGACCCACTGTTTACATCAAAGTTGATTCAGGGATCCATGGAAGGGTTTTCAAAAGTAGGTGAATCCCCTGAAACTGTGTGCCAAAGAACACATGCATGTGTCTGTGCACTTCTGGGAAGAACATCCAGAACTTTCATTAGCTTCTCAGAAAGTTAGGAACCACCTGCTGGATGTAAACTGAATGTTCTCCCTGTGCTCAGCTAGGGCCCAGAGGAATCTTGGCTCCAGAGTCCCTCCTGGGACTCCAGATCGATAAAGTATCATGACCGAGGGTATACTCACCATTCCCCAGAAGCCCATACCCAGTGACTGAGTATTTGCTGGACTGCCTTTCAGCCATTGCTACCTGGACCATCACAGGCTGATCTGCATTTGGTTAAAGAGAAATCATTTCCAACCATCTGGAACTCAGCCGCCTTCTGGGCTAAAGCTATAGGAAGAGCGTTGAGCTTGGCCTTAGAGGGCCATTGCTCTGAGCTGCGCTTGACCTCTCCTCTCCTACTGGGACATGAAGGCCTGGCTGCAGGGTTCTGTGTCCCTCCCTCATGAATGCACCCCTGTGCACTGCCTGGCACCCAGGACGTACTCAGCCCAGCTTCATGGAGTTCAAGTGAGACGGGCTGATAATTCTTGCCCTAGGCCGGGAGAGGAAATCAAACCATAGAAATAACCATAATGCAAGGTAGAAAGGGATCCATTTCATGAGAGAACTGCAGATCAGGGGCTCCGGGGTGGCAGCACAGAGGATGACAGGGTGATCAAGGGCTGGTTCAGTTGAGGGGGAATCAGAGAAGCCTTTCCGAGGAGGAGCCTAGAGGTGGGACTAGTAGAAAGTAGACAAGGGGATATGCAAACAAAGGCCCTTTAAGGGAAGGAAGTGGCCTGGACTGGAGAACACAGGGCAGGGAGGCACAGGGCAAGGGCAGGCAATCCAGTTAGGCTGGAGCCAAGAGGGCCTGGAAGGGACTGGTCACATTGGGTTACGAAGTCAGTGGGTGCTGCCCGCTGCTCTGTGCGCTCCTCACCCAAGGACTGAGCAGTGGGCCTGGCTGTCCCCCTTGGCCGGGTCACTGAGCTGTGGCTGGTTCCCCAGGCCAGGGCAGCCCAACTAGGCTCAGTGCCGCGCCGGGTTACGCCCTTTACAGCTGAAGCATCGTTGCATCTCAGTGGAAGGTGCTCCTGCTTATTGGTTCTCTGAGCTCACGTAGATCCCTGTGGACAGCAGGCAGGGAGCAGATCTACAAACACTAAGGCAGCCCGTACTCTCTCCCAGGGGGTCACGTTTCAGCTTGTAATGTCGTCATTTATAAGCCCTGTTCATCTCTGGTAATGAAATGAAGCAGGGCAGTGTTATTGCATTTGTGAAAGGATTTTGTTCTCTCCTTCCACTCCCCCCCTTCCCCCCCCCCCCGCTCCCCTCCCCCAGACTCCAGTTTATCTGTCTCCAGCTGATCGCTGGTATTTTCAATGTTACAACTCCTCACCACTGAGAGAACATTCTGGGAGGCAATAAACATTGGAATTGTTGCTTAGTAGCCTCCAAATATCCTTTAAAAAGGTGTTTCAAGGGACGCCTGGGTGGCGCAGTCTGTTGAGCGTCTGAGTCTTGGTTTCAGCTCAGGTCGTGATCTCAGGGTCAGGGGATAGAGCCTGGCGTCTGGCTCTGTGCTCAGCGGGGAATCTGCTTGAGATTCTCTCTCTCCCTCTGCCCCTCCCACTTGTGCTGTCTCTAGAATAAATAAATCTTAAAAAAAAAAAAAAAAGTCGTTTGAATATCTCACTTCTCTAGGAAGTCTTCCTGGATTGCCTTTGCCAAACATTTTGGTTCCTTTATGATGGCCTTGCTATTTATATAGGTGGTTCTCTTCTGTTGTCGCAGGTCCTCAAGGAACATTATAAATATTTCAGGCCCTGGGTCCTTTAAAGCATCAATTCTCTTGAATTATGAATGTAAAGAAAAAGTTAAGAGCATACAGTCCTTCTTTTAGAATGAGGACAAGGGCAGGAGGATTCTGGTATCCCCTCTCTGCCTCTTTGTGGGAACTGTCTCCTCCTTCAGCCTGGGAGCTTTGGTCCCCTCTCTCTCCAGAGTGCTTACCCAAGGCTTGCTGGGGAGAAGGGCGAGCTGTGAAGTGGGTAGTAGGCGGGAGTGTGCAGCCCAGGCCCCTGTGCCCACTTTCCTATAGGAAGCCAAGCATCGCTAATTAAGCCAGAGGACTCTAGAGGGGTTTGTGGCCTAAAAGTCTGGGGAATCCTTTGTCTACATGGCCACAGCCTGTTGCTGTCCTCAGCTCTGAGGACACAGTCCCTAAGGGGAGGTGTGGGACTTCCCTCTACTTGGCTTTTGGAGAGTGGTGGGGTCAGGACAGCAAGGGAAAGCTCTGATTCCCTGACTGTCACTGTGTGCCCCCTCCTGAGCCCTGTACTTGGCCAGGCCACCCCAGTCTCAGACCCTCCATGCCCATGTTATACTGGCCAGGATAGGGAGATTGTTCTAGCTAAGGAGAAGGGCTAGGCCAAGTCTGAGAGGCAGCATGGGTGCATTGACAGCTAAATAGTTGCCTTGCAAATTTCAGTAGTGATCCCAAAGGGTGCAATGTCTGCATATTGAAAATCTGCCAGCTACAAAACTGTAACAGGACTCTTTTAAATGTATCCAATGACATATAAATAGCATAGCAATTTGATACTCACCATCAGCTGTTTAAAAAATACCTAACAGGCTCTTCTTTATCAACAGAAATCTTATATTGTTCATATTTCTCCTTGAATCTGCATTTTCATCCCAATTCCGCCAGAGATTTTCATCCTATTTTAATGCTTATCATACTCTGAAATAAAAATATGTGTATATATTGAAGTTAACTTTAAAAATCTCCTGGGATCATAAGCTCCAGGTGTTAAAAAAAGTTTCTAGATTATCCATCAAAATAGTGTTTATTATACAATTAATCAAAATACTATAAATATAATATGAATTTTAATAAATATTTAACAAAAATACCATGATACTGAAAATGCATCTTTTTTACTTTAATTTCGGGACAGTTAATATACAATACTGTATTAGCGTCAGGTGTACAATACAGTGATGCAACAATTCTCTATGTTACTTAGTGCTCATCATGATAAATGTACCTTAATCCCCATCACCTATTTCACCCACACCCCCCACTCACCACCCCTCTGGTAACCATCAGTTTGTTGTCTATAATTAAGAGTCTGGTTTTTGGTTTGTCTCTCCTTTTCCTTTGTTCATTTGTTTTGTTTCTTAAAGTCCACATACGAATGAAATCATTTGGTATTTGTCTTTCTCTGACTTATTTCGCTTAGCATTATACCCTCTAGGTCCATCCATGTTGTTGCAAACAGAAGATTTCATTCTTTTTTATGGCTGAGTAATAGTCCACTGTCTATATATGCCACATTTTCTTCATCCATTCATCAGTTGATGGACAGTGGGCTGCTTCTATAATTTGGCTACTAGTAAATAATGCTACAATAAACACAGGTGCAGAGGTCTTTCCGAATTAGTGGTTTTGTATCATTTGGGTAAATACCTAGTAGTGGAATTACTGGATCATATGGAAGTTCTATTTTTAATTTTATGAGGAACCTCCATACTGTGGGAAATGCATCTTTTAGTGACATGGGAAGGATTTCTTTTACGCTCACTTCTCTATCCATGAATAAACATTACTTATTGTTAGAATGAGACACTGTTTAGCTTCAATTCCGTTGCTATTTTTCCTTTCTTGTAGATGCACCTGAGAAAATGTGTCCATAGAAATATGATGAGAATAAAAAGAGTTTTGTCATAGCAGTGAGACTTGATTCTTTGAACCCCTTCCCAGTTATATGCCAAAATCATATGGTAATCTATCATCAAAAATTATTTTTAATGATCTATCAGCTGACAGTTTAATTAGATCCTCCATCAATTTAGCTGAATGCAAAGAATGGAGAATCAACTACCTGGGGAAATTTATTCTTGGTCATTGCACTCATTCAAGTTTCTCAGTTGCTAGAAAGTATATCAAAAAAAAACTCTACTATCACTTATGGAGGACTATTGATTGCATCCTGCACTTTTTCACATTAAAGTGCTTTGTTTAACCCAGTATACTCTGAAAGGGTTCAGAAAAGAAAAAATGTTGTTAATCTTAACATATCTTGCTAATACCAAGTCTTTTAAATAAAAAATTCATCTTACAAACACACACACACACACTCACACACACACACACAGCTGCATATTTAGCTCATTCAATTTATGGATTTTGTCCACCATTTAACTTAATCAGTTAAGCCAAAACTCACTGTCAAACCAAATAACCAAATCAGACTCAATCTGAAAAAAAAATAAGACTTCATTTGTTCATTCAAATAAATATGTTGACATGCGTCCTGGAGACAGTCTCACTTATGAATTCTATTTCTGGCAGAGTGGAAAATAAGGCACAGAGGCTTGCCACGAGCTTGTCACCTGTAGGAAATAAGGTGCTATTAGCTTGATATTTGTTCTGGGCACTGTCTTTGCTTTGCTTTTATGGGATTCTCCCACAGAAAGGCTGCATCCTTTGACAGTGGTCAGGGAATGGAAGAGGTGAGATTGTTAAATAAAAAATATCTTAAATTGTCCCTTTGTTTGATACCCTGGAAGTTTTAATCAGCTGGGAACTATGCACCATAGGAATTAAGGCTCAGGGAGGGTGAAAGGAATCCTTATCTTTTGTGAAGCAGGACTGTGAGGAGGAAGTGGGAGTGGAGAACCCACAGGAGGAGCCTTAACCAGGAGATGTTTCAGGCAGACCTGTTTTAGGAAAAATAGATGTGGAAGTTGAAAATCTAGAAATAGATTTCCTTAAAACTACTTGTGTCCACATATCTTTTGGAAAGTCTTAGGTTATCCCTGGCCACACATTATGCCCTGGTTCAAAGACCATTGGACTAACCCAAGGAGTGACAGTGTGGCCAGACCCACAGGAAGGCCACCTTGTCCCTCACCTCTCACATCTGATGTCACTCACCAAACATTTATTGAGAGCCAGGCACAGGGCTGGATCTTATGGGGAAAAGTACACTCCCCACTCCTGCCCATAAGGAGTCCATTTATTAGAAGCAAGTCACGAGGCCCAGCTCACACTCCAGGGGAGGAGACTAGTGAGGCCGAGCATGGCAGCAGGTAAGCATCATTGAGAGTCATCTCAAAAGCTACCTGCTGAAGAACTTCATGTTTTTTCTGACTCAGGTGTGAGTCCTGATTGCTTGCTGGGGAAAGATGAAGAGTCTCACTCCATAGCCTGTAACAGAAATAATAAAGGTTTTGAAGAAAACACATGTATAGAGATATTCACTACGATATTGCTGATAATAACAAGAAATTAGAAACAGTAAAGATGTCCCTTCAAAGGTCTAGGAAGTGTCTTGGTAGTATGTACCTCCCCCTTCCTGCCCCAACTCCTGCTCAGCCCAATCAATTTAGGCTGGGAGGGGGTACGTACGCAGAGCAGAGCCTAATATCCATGGCTTACTCCAATCCTCCTTCACCTGCCCCCTTTCCTCTTGCCCACAGGAATGTGCAGAGGCTGGATATGAAGGCAGGTGAAATGGGGAGCCTGCGGGGCCAGGGGAATGTGAAAGGACTACAGTAGCAAAGGGGACGAAGGACAGGTTCTGTAGACGTGACCTCCTGGGAGAAATGGGGAGGCATTTGTTAAGTGGTACCAAGTTTCAGTTGTGCAAGGTGAATAAGCTCTGGGGATCTGATGTCCAGCATGGTGACTATCATTAGTAATACTGTATCATATATTTGAAATTAGCTAAGAGGGTAGATCTTAAGTGTTTTTACCACACATACACACACACACAAAGAAAAGAGAAAAAAAAAGAGAAAAGAGCATGGTAACTATGTGAGTTGATGGATTTGTTAATCAGCTTGAATGTGGTGATTATTTAACAATGTATACATATACCAGATCAAATTGTACACCTTAAACATACAAATTTTATTGTCAATTATACCTCAATTAAGCTGTGGCAGTGGGGGAGGGGATGACCTCCTATAAAATAAAGAGGAAGGGAACTAGATGCTCTCTTGTGTGCATACTCTGTCTCTCTGTCTCTGTCTGTCTCTGTCTCTCTCTTTCTCTCTCTCACACACACACACATCATTTTGCCAATTATAAATCTACCAGTAAAATACTTGAATCCATACTTCTTCTAAATACCAGGACTAAGAATTATTTTAAAATACTGAATAGCCGTGTGTAATATGAAGAAATTAACATTCTTTTACTTCTTTCTACCTTCTCCCATCTGTTTCTTCTGCGTGTGTGTTGTATGATCTGGGATATGAGGAATCAACGAATTACTATTAAATTGTGGATATTCTACACTGTTTATGTTCCCTTTAAAAATTAATTGCTATTTAGATTACATGTTTTGAAACTATATCATTTAAACTTCATTGTATGCTTAAATCTCTTCAATGCCTGCCAACACTCCTTTATATTATGACCTACCCATTCTTTGGCTCATTTTACTTCACCTCTCCATTGGTTGGAGTGGATCTTAAAGCAATTTTCTCAGGAAAGATGTTCCTGAGAATGTTTGAGAATGTCTTTTCTGAAACAGTCATAAGTGAATGATAAAACTGCCATTTGGCTAAGTTAAACTGTTTTCCCTTAAAACCTTGGAGATGTTGTGTCACTTTTTTTGGTCATCTCTTGCTACCATTGAGATGCTTGAAGAAGACTGTCTGATTTTTCATCATTTGACTGTAATAACTTTGCACTGCTGGTAGAATTTTTTTTTCCTTTGTCCTTCTATTTCTAGATTCTTGCCAAGATGTGCCTACTTATTAGTCTCTTCATTGATTTGTTCTGTGCAGTCAATTGAATAATGTCACCTCAAAATTCACGTTTACTTGGAGCATCAGAATGTGACCTAAGGTCTTAAAGATACAACTGGCTACAAACGAATTCGCCCTGGATTTTGGGCACCCTGAATCCAATGACTGGTGTCCTTATAAAGAGAGAACACACAGACAAACACAGAGATGAAGGCCAAGTGAAGACGGACACCGAGGTTGGGGTTAACCCCGCCGCAAGTCAAGGATCACCCAGGGTCACCAGAAGCTGGAAGAAGCAAGGAAAGATTCTTCCCTAGAGCATTCTCTAGGGAAGCCCTGTTTACATGTTGATTTTGGACCTCTAGCCTCCAAAACTGTGGGAGAAGAAATCCCTGTTGTTTTAAGCCACCCAGTTTATGGTATTGTGTTACAGTAGCCCTGGGAAACTAATACCATCCGGAATGCAGGAGTCTTTTCAGTTTATAAACTGTTTTTAGGTCAGTACTTTGATTAGTTTCTTCTGCAAGTCACCTGTAATTCATAAGTATGGTTTCTGTTATCTGTCTTTTATGTCTATTATATTCTCTCTCTTTGTTTTAATCTCCTTGGCTTTCCCCTCTGCATCCTGGGAGAGCTTTTTAAGCATCGGGAAAAATTGCAAAAGACAGAAATGGGCAAAAGATTATGGGGTGTCCTTCCAATGGAATGTAGGGTGTGGTACAGAAGACTCTCAGGGTAGTAGATCCAACAAGGTCCTGAGTCTTTCATTATTCCTTTTCTTCTAGGCTGTCTTACAACCCTGTACTATGCAGAGAACTGGTAGTAATTCATTTTTTGAGTGGGGAAACGAAAGAAGGAACCAGTGAGGGAAGTGGGAGGTCTGAGTACCTATGGATCAGGAAGGTTCCCCAAAAGAGTGTTCACAGAATCCCATTTTTTCCCAAATAACCACTTTTTTTTTTTTTTTTTTTTGGTGGACTGGCCCCATGCCTCGTGGAATTCTTAATTTTTCTCCAGCATCTTGATTGTCACTTTTAAATGATTCACTGCATCTTAGTATAGCTTAGGCATTTGCCAAGGTGGCCAAGAAGAAAAAAAGTGGTTCCCGGAATTCTGATCCTTTTAATCACTGCTCCAGACTGGTTCTGGGAACTGAGAGGCACCATCTGCAAAAGGCTTTTGGAGGAAATGGGGTGGGAAGTGGGGTGGGTGGAGTTGTCAGGGAGAAGAATATGTCCCCAGATCCATTAGAGCAGTGTAGTCTAGGTTGAGCGCCACTTTGAGGAGAAAACCATTTTGTGGTGTCTTCACTAAGCCTAGATATTTTAACTTCATTTCCAGGTTCCAGCTTGCCATTCGTTTCTCGATTTATTTTGGTTTTTTGGCTATTGTAACAGGAAAATCGACTCACTTTTCAAACAGACAGCACTGAGAAAGATAGGACCAGACAAAGTTCTCACTTAAAGCCTCACCTCTAAGCTTCCAGAAAAGAAGCTACTTCTTCCACCCCCCGGGGCCTCTGGCTTGGTCCCCTAATAGCCTGGGGCATGGAGGAAAGCAGAGAAACCTTGTTCTCATAGATGCATATTGGGGTCAAGTTCCACCTTCTCAGCAAAGTCGTCCCTGGCCACCAGCCTCCTGTCCTCTCTCTGTTCCCTCTCAGCTCCTAACTCACTCACTGTTCCATTCATTTTCAGATTTAATTCTGGACTTGGGTGAATTATAGGAATAATACCACTTTCCAATGTGCAATTCTTGTTTTTCCAGCTATGAACTCCTTCCCAGCAAGGACCCTCTCCCCTGGCTTCCCTTCTGTTCAGCGCAGCCCTAAGTGTGAAGCTGGACTCCTGGCAGGAGTTTGGTCAACACCTGACTTCACCTGAATTCAAGGCTGGCCACTGAGGCAGATAAAGGACACTTAGAAGTGATCAGACTGCAAGCTTTCCTGCTGGCCTGCAGTGATATCATAGGGAGCTACACCAGTCCCCCAGCGTGTTACCTCCAAAACTCCCATGCGGGGGCCTGCTGTTGGAAAATCAGGCCGCCCTCCGTAGGAAGAATTGTTAAAGAATTTTCCACCTACTGCATGGCAGCCCACCCCCAGGCTTTCACGGCCCTTGCCCTCCTGGGCTAGCATTTTTCTCCTCAGCACCTCTGTCCCTTTTTTCTCAAGGAAAGGATTCCTCACTGCTCTCTGGCTACCCCCACCTCTTCTGTACCTTCTCTTGATTTTGGAGAAAGCACACCCTAACAAGCTTTGCCAAGCATCTTTCTCCCTCTCCTTCGAGGACCTCTTTCAAACGTTCTCTTTCCCAGAAAGTCTTTCCCGACTGAGGAGAGGAGAGAAGAGGAAGCTCTCCTTTTCTCCTTGTGCAAATCATTCTGCTCTGTTGAAAGCAATAAATACGAACTCAGTCTATAATGCACTTGTTTTGCAGGTAAAGATATTAATTCATTTAATTCCACTGTCATCTGGGGATAGTTCTTGTGCCTTCCTCTGAGTTCTCTGTATGGACTTCCTGGGGCTAAGATGTCTGCAGTGTTCTGTGTCTCTGCTTTTTCTTTGTTTGCCCTGGGTCGTTCACCTTTCTGTAGAGTCTCTGTTCTCCCCATCTTCTTCTTTCTCTTATTCAGATTGGCTCCTAGGAAAAGATCAGAGAGGAGTGGCACTAAAATCCAAACACTGAGCTTACTTCCTCAGGGGGGCAGGTAATGGAGGGAGAGGTCACATTGACGGACTAAATCCCATGAAGCAGTACCAGAGACAGCATGGGGGTGAGGGTAAAAATAGGGCCACTTTTTGGCAAAGGGCCTCCATGGAACCCCAGAAATTCACATACTTAGCCAAACACTCTTTTAGGTGCCCTGGACTTGTTCAGAGGAGACATGGCTCCATCCAAGTCTGCAGGATTTGAACGAACAATCTTACAACAGAATCAATCAGAAAATTCTAGAGCTGAAAGAAAGGTTAGACCCCCTCTAGCCTGGGTGTCTCGCTTTGCTGATGAGAAAACCAAAACCCCAACAGAAATGATGAATGGTCCTTCAATTTGTTAGGGCAGAGTTTGGCCTGGAGCCCTGGTTTCTTAATTCTCCTCCCAAAGCTTGCTCATTATTCTTCTTTCTCCAGGTTTCATGGGTAGACTCAATTGTTTACTTTTAGAATCAGCTTTTCTAGTTCTACAAAACAATGTCCTGTAGTCACCTTCATTGAGATAGTGTTGGATTTATAAAGTAACTGAGTAGAGCATTGACATTTTTGCAGTGATGAATCTTTCTCTCTGAGAATATAGTATAGCTCTGCATTTTTTCAAGTCCATTTGTATGTTAAAATTTTGTTTTAAGGATACCTGGGTGGCTCAGTTGGTTAAGCATCCAACTCTTGATTTTGGCTCAAATCATGATCTCAGGGTCATAAGATCAAGCCTCATGTCGGGCTCCCTGCTGG